CCTTTGTCCTGCAGGGGACGTAGTCAGTCTGATGATGATGACGATACGCAAAGCATAGAAGGACGTTAGTGCACGCGTTTCACCTTGGGTGGTATTATACAGCAGTTTCCTCGGCATTATTGTCCGTTAGTTTTCAAAACTATTGTGTCTAACTAAGAAAACGAGCCCTTACATTTAGACTCGAGCTACACGTTGGCACACGCAGGTGACAAAGTGAGGCTGAAGGATGTGCGGGCCCTCACCTTGAGGCGGGGATACTACACGACCGGTCGGCGATCCCACCCCGTGCCACAGCTGCACTGCCGCGGCGGCAGCGCCGGATGCAAACATCAGCCGTCGGTCGTTCAATGCTACAACCGCGGGACTGACGGTGTGGACGTGCAGGTGATCTTTTTCGCCACCCTTCAAACAACACTGTGGACGTGCAGGTGATCTTTTTCGCCACCCTTCAAATAACACGCACACGTCTTCATCACGTCTTATGTTGCTTACTCCTTCGTTATACTCATGTGTCCTTTTCTCTGTGGGGCGTGTTCTGTGCTTGCGCTGTTAATATGAATTAAGCGTTGCACTGATGGCCTGCAAACGACATCAAAGGACGCCATGGGTATGGCTATAGGAAGGGGGGGGGGTGACTCTTTAACACCCACAACTTTTCGATTTTGTTTGTGTATATATATAAGCACACGTTGATTGATTGATTGATTGATTGATTGTAATGCAGGGTTTAACGTCCCAAAAGCCACCACATGATTATGAGAGATGCCGTAGTAGAGGTCTCCGAAAAGTTTGACCACCTGGGGTTCTTTAACGTGCCTCCAAATCTGAGCACGCGGGACTACAGCATTTCCGCCTCCATCGAAAACGCGGCCGCCGCAGCCAAGATTCGATCCCGCTATCTGCGGGTCAGCAGCGGAGTACCTTAGCCACTACACCACCGTGGCGGGGCGACGCACACGTACAAACGCATGCACCGACATAGTATGCTTGAATGCCTCTCCCCCCCCCCCCCCGCCCTCCGAAAAACAAAATAAATCACAGCATATCTACGGAGTGAATGATGATGAGTGGGGCAAAGCGCTGGAGGGTTTCATCGGTGAACTGTGAACGATAGGCCAATATCGCCTATAGATCATCAAAGACGTAACAATGTATATACTTATACAAGAAATTTAATATTGGTAAGTGGTAGCTATACGCCGCTTCAGTTTCCCCTTCATTATAATGGCTTTAGGGTCGGTGAAGTGATGGATCGGCGATGGGGCGTAGCGGGATGTTTGCGAGGACGAAGTAGTGGGCAGTTTGCAAAGATGGAACTATAGGCGGTCACGTAGAAACAAGGAATGGGCACGATAGGAAAATCTATGATTCTTTCACGCGCACCGGGATACAAGCACACGACCATCTTGCATTTTATATTGGCTACTTCTCAACAGTGTTGGCTTTATGGTCACTGAAGCGGTGGATCGGTGATGGGGTGTTGTTAGATGTTTGCAAGGTGGCTACGTACACCAACGGAAGGAGGACAGACCCACACCTTAAGGAGCTTCGCCACTGAAAAAATCCTGGCCTCTTATCACGGTGAACAGTGGTGGCAGCGAATGCTGCACAGTGACGTGCTGGCGCCCCAACTCAGGGTTGTCCAAAGGGCCCGTGTGGTGACAGAAGGGTTGATGAAGCGTACGTGCAGAACTTCTGCCTATGCGCAATGTGCTAAATGTCGCGTTTGTATACGTGCGCAACGCCGCTGCAGACTCCACGTACGCGCGTGTTGTTCACGCTGATTGCGTACACGTGGAGCCACAAACATAGCTTCTCACCATTCAAGTACTACACATCATGGCGGCTTCCGTGATGTCACGGCAAGCCATTTTTAAACAGGCGGTGTAGCACGAAACTATCGTCGCTTCCTGCCTCTAAAAAAACGAAAGATCAACATTTACCACGAAGACGAATACATAACCGATGCAGTGAGTGAGTGAGTGGGTGAGTGAGTGAGTGAGCAAACTTTATTTAACCAGTGGATTGAGGCGTGGGCCTAAGCCGCGCCAGGGGCGGTGGAGAGACCCTGTCTCTCAGTCGCCTCCCGTGCTCGCTGGATGGCCCATATTTGATCTGTCCAGTGGTGACAAAAAGTTTGCGATCTGAATACGAAGAAGCTGTGAACGTACAGGCCAAGTGTTATTTTGCGTGTAGCAGGCAGTTCCAACCTTCGCGCAAAATATCGCCTAGTCCCGCCTGTTTCTGGGTCTTCCATATTATTCCTCCTGTGACGTCACATCCCAGCTCGTGACAGCCTGTAAACGCCAACGACTGGGTTTCTGTTGATGATCACGGGTCGCATACAAGCGTAATGATGCAATCTATAGTTCCAATAAATTAGTCTCGAAGCAATCACAGCGCATTTGTTTACATCGATAACTGACGTTTCAACGGACTCCAACCTGTCAATGTAACCACAATTGAAATGCGCGGAGAAAAAAATCCACTGACGATTATGGCCTATAGTGCAAATTCTGGGCGCAGCTGTTCAAGTGTTGTAAACTTGCGATAATTTGAGGAAATGCACATGCGTTAGAGTGACGCGGCGTGGCGCTATACTCGGCGACAGCTTTTCTTGACATTGGAGCGAGGGCTACGGAGACGGGGCCTCAGCACATTTGTGTTACTACGCAAGATTTTGGTTCCAGTTTCGGTTTTCGCTTGCTCGCTGCGCTAGTGTGTTTAGCAAAATATATGCATGCAAAATGGGAACGTCAGAGTTAAACTTTGATGAGAGTGCATACATACAGCTAGTTACTGTGCTGTGTATATACTGGTACATATAAAATTTTCCGTTGTTCAGAACGTTTTCCCAGCATTATTCAGCCTTTATAACAGTGAAGTTTAGGTTCCGTGTTCAGCCCAGTATATATGGGTACGCGCCACACGTGATCGAATGTTAACGTTTACGGTATTGAGCCCTGGTACAGGCGAAATGGAAGGTCGGTTGCAGCACGATCCGGCCACGGGCCTGTCTTGTTTCAGTTTTGCTGTATTCGGTTTACGCCCTCAAAGGCTGTCAGCAATGATCGGCGCAGACTGCGCCTCAGTGTTCGAGAAGCCTCACAAGTGTTGTAGATCGTTGTTAAGATTGCGCGCAAGACGCGAACAGTGAAGCTTATTTCAGAGCTTGCGCGGCCACCAGTGATAAGGCTGGAAAGTTCGATGCGTGGTGTATAAAAGACGGCGCGTCCCAACGATGAGCAGCTTTTCCACGGCCGATGCTGTGCTCGCCGCTGCAAGAGCAATCACCGTGCAGGATTAAGCCTGCTGGAGCACCACGCGCTGTACAGTAAATAGAGGGGTACATTCCCCCACATACATTGTACCTCGGTAGTGGTGCTTTCCTGATTGTACATGCACCCTTTGTAGTCGTGAAGCTCGATGTTTTTGTCATGTACTTTATCCTTGGTTGGAAGTCAATAAACTTCTCTTTGTTGCAAGAGCAAGCAGCAGACGCAGCCGGCGTGAGGAAAACGTGGTGCCGTCCAAGAAATAAAAAAGAAAAAAAACTAGGGCGCATGATAACTTCTTTTCCATGAACAGCGTCCCATACTTGTTCTATCCTTATATTGAAGAAAGTTTTATTTATTCGGGCCAAGTATCTATTAGAATCAGAAAATAAAATAGGTACTATTTCCTGGCGCGCGCGCATGCAGGCGGTTCGGCTCTATAGCTTCCACAGTGCTGTCAAGAAAAGCTGTCGCCGAGTATAGTGGAACTATAGAATATTCGGTTATCGTGTCAACATAACGTGGCAGATTTGGCGTGCGTCTGTATAACATTCATACTTATTCTTGAAGCGAATTCGTAAAGTATTGCTCAATAACATGCAAGTCACGGCCACCTTCCCACCTCATGCTTCACATTAAATCGATTTCCACGGTACGTGGCACGTACCGAATTTTTCCTCCAGTGCGAATGAACATTGACTAAATTGTGCTTTCCGAGACATAGAATGCCTTCTCCTGATACATTTGCAGTGGGAATGCAAGGCGCAGATGAGGGAGACTCAAAAATTCGGCTGGATGCAAGTTACGTGCGAGGGATACGATCATTCCAGGGATGAATACGTCCTAGTTGGATCTTGTGGCGTAAGTGAATGCTATTATTTCCTTGACATGCATGTAGCAAATTTGGAGCTTTGAACATTTCCCGTATTAGAACGACAAATAATGCGAAATATTTTTTAGTTTGTCCGTCCCATGTTAAACAGTACAATTGAGGCACGTCGTAAAGGGGGGCAACGATTATTTCGTACAGTTCTTATGCTTTATAACGTACTGCATTTATACAAACATAAGTGTTGTTTGCATTTGGAATTTATTGAAAATATTTTCGCAATAGCCAAAAAATGAACCCAAGCTCTTTACCTTACAAGTACGATATGCTAAAGTACCCATACTATAAGTAAGCTACGAAAGCCTAGATGACTGCGTGCGTTGTCTCCTCATTGTCTCTACTGGCAAAGGTTTACATGTACCTTTCTGCATATTTTATGAACATTGTTCTTTTTGTTGCATTCCTTTGTATATATATATATATATATATATATATATATATATATATATATATATATATATATATATATATATATATATGTATATGTTTGTTTAGTAATGTGAACAATTGTGTATGCCCATTTGTCAAACACCACAATGAGGCCTGCGGTATGTGCTAAATAAGTTATAAATAAAAATGAATACGTATCATCTATTAGCTCATACACACGTATTCTTTTTTTTTTACACTCGGTTTTGAAACTGAGTCTACAAAAGTTCTCCCATTTTCGTAGCATCACATTGCATTTTTTTCATTTGCTTCTCAACATGTACCTAAGAAAAACTATGCCTCCTATATGCCTTACACAAATTGCTATATGATATTGTCTCTTGTTTTTTGTTTTTTTTTTCTACGAAAACGAAATAGTTTATTTCCACCTTCTCCAACAGCTGCAATACTATCTGGAGAGAACGGTGCCTGGCTATGACTCATCAAGGACGTGCGTAGCACTTTTCTGTCTGCATGTGCTGTAATCCTAGAGTTCTATTCGTAACCAAACTCATGCTTTCTCTTCCACAACCTGTAGCATATTTCAGAGGTAATACAAAGTGAACAAAGAAACATATAGACCCCAGGAGTATTAATCTGAAAAAAACATTCAGAACGTATCTGATTAGGGATTCATATTTGCACGTTGCAGTTATTAAAAAGAAAGAACGTTCTTGCTTCTATACCGTACGAACGCGTTGGTTTCTTGAATTGCCTCGAAACAGCAAAAAAAAAAAAATAACGCGATCCACTTGCTTCTCAGAACGCAGCCACCACATGATCTGTTAATAGCGATCCAGCGCGAAAAAATACCTTCAACAGTAAACGCATTCACCTTAAGTCCTTTCTTCGAAATTGTGCGTTACTAGTGGAGCAGGGAGAGCAATTCAAAGAACGTGAGTGCTTGTACACTCGTCTTGCGCACACCTGTGCACAAAATGAAATAGCAGTAGCCTTGTGCACGCCTTGCATGCGTGTCAGTAGGAGGTGTAAAAAAAGGCATCTGACCCTCTCGAGCCAGATCCGCACTTGCCTCCAGCCAAGCTGAGCAACGCTTTCTCCCTACTCCAGCCACGATGTCACATGGGTTTGCACTCCCCGAGACCTGGCGACACTCATGCACACCTGTGCCCTAATGTACCGCTCGGTGTACGAGCGTGCGTTCCTCCGTACTGGTGCGTGTCCCTGAGGCACACGTGCGTGCACTTCTATGCCCTCCCGAGTCGTCCTGTGTGTCCCTGGATAGCGCATATGTCCTGCGCAATTGTCTTCTTTTCTCTCGTCTAGTAATGCGTTGGTAAATCCTCTGAAAATATTTGCTGTTCTGTCTTTTTCTTTTTTTAAGGGCAAAGCCCTTTGCGCCGTGGGTCGTATGTCCCGTGTCGTCATAGTCGTCGTAGCAGCCAGTTGCAATTGCATTGCATGTCAATAAAAACTGTGTCACAGCATATCCACAGAGTGAATGATGATGAGTGAGGCGAAGCGTCCGTCATCCGCGCTTCCGTGTGTCTGTCCATCTGTCCGTGTGTCCGTCCGCTTCGCCCCACCCGTCATCATTCACTCTGTGGACATGCTGCGTTTTTTTTTTTTGAAAAGAGGGGGGGGGGGGCGTATTGAATTTTCCATAAATCGTCTTGGGGGACTGTTGTTATTGCTGTTGTTCAGGAGGTCAGCCGATCGCGTGTAATTCGAAACAATAAAACATTGATACACCTGCTGCGTTGTTATTGAAATCCAGATCATGACATGTAGATCAGGAGTGCGCGCCCACGCGTGCAACGAAAGAGGTATAAGGAATCGCGCCGTTCTATTTCAGGCGCGAAAAGTAGATGCACAGAGCATATCCCCACCAAAAAGTATCTACCATTACATTACCCTCATGCTCATATTTTCTTTCCTTTTTTTCATTTTCTCCTTGAATTGTCCCTATCATTATCTTGCCACTCTATTACCCCTTAGTATGTTGCATACACAGTAATCCTACTTTACTGCAGTTGTCGCGTACGTGACAATTGTTATGGCGCGAGCTCAGGACGACCACAAAGGCTGAAGGCTAAAGAAACGTCATAATCTGTCAACTAGCCCAAACCGGCACGCGTCGCGTACAGTCATGTAAAGCTAAAGATATGACCCCAGCTGAATAAATTTAAGTCACGTGATCTCTCGCGCATTTTCCTAAGACGACTTGAAGGCAGAAAGAATATGCTTTTTTTTTCCTAAGTCGATTCTACTGCTCACCCCCTCGCGAACACTTTCTGCTCCCAATGTGGTTTCGCGTTGGCTCCGGGATCAGAAATATTAGAAGTTTTCTGCAAGTCACGTGGTTACGCAGTGCCTCAGGGATTGGTCCACCTGCGGCCAAGCGACGATGCATCGGGATGACGTCGTAATGGGACGTCGAGTTTTGTTACATCTCTGACAGACTGGATTGGTCCACCTTGCGCCACGCGATGATTCATTGAGATCACGTCACAATGGGGCATCGGGTTGTGTGACATCTCAGACAGACAGGATCGGTCTACCTTTGGCCACGCGATGGTGCATTTGAATAACGTCATATTGGGACATCGGGATTTCTGACATCTTGACAGACAGACAGACAGACAGACAGACAGACAGACAGACAGACAGACAGACAGACAGACAGACAGACAGACAGACAGACAGACAGACAGACAGACAGACAGACAGACAGACAGACAGACAGACAGATAGATAGATAGATAGATAGATAGATAGATAGACAGATAGATAGATAGATAGATAGATAGATAGATAGATAGATAGATAGATAGATAGATAGATAGATAGATAGATAGATAGATAGATAGATAGATAGATAGATAGATAGATAGATAGATAGATCTGTGACACCACTTTGACGCCACATCGGCTTGTGTGACATCATAGTGGCGTCATGATCAAGTTTCGCGACCTCTGATGTCTTCGCGAGATGGCGATTTCTTGCATCACATGTGTTAGCTGTGATGCCAACGGTCGCTATTAGAGATTGATGAAAAACCTGATGCTTTCACCTTAATGTACGTTCAGGGATGTCATCGTCCTGATACTAGTCCTCCTCATCTGCTGCTGCTTGTGCTACCTCTGGTATTCGAGCAACCAACAGAATGTTCCACCACACGGTGTTGGCTACCAACCAGTAATAAACCAGCCGGCAGCCTACCCAAGTGCACCGCCTCTAGCTCCCAACCCACTCGGCAACCCTCCACCTTACAACTTGCGCTTCTGTTCGGCATGCCAACATCCTCACACAGCCTACGGTAAGGACACACTGGAAAGATCTGACCCGTCTCCAAACATATATGTAACATTAAAGGGGTCCTGGAACACTTTTTGAGCATGGTCAGAAAACGCTGGTGGTTGGTAGTCGAGGCTACCGAGAGCACGCGAATCCTCGACAAGTCATGCTATATACTCAAAAAGCGTTGTATCGCAGCCTTAAGTATCGCGTCCTTGAGGAAGGTATATTGTAGCTGCATCTTGCCGGAACTTACCTACGGAGCAGAAACCTGTAGGCTTACAAAGAGGGTTCAGCTTGAATTGAGGATGACGCAGCGAGCGATGGAAAGGAAAATAATAGATGTAACCTTAGGAGACAAGAAGAATGCAGAGTGGTTCATGGAACGAACTGGGGTTAATGATATCATAGTTGAAATCAAGAAGAAATGGACATGGGCCAGGCACGTAGCACGTAGGCAGGATAATTACTGGTCATTATGGGTAACTGACTGGATTCCCAGAGAAGGCAAACACATGAAAGGGAGACAGAAAGTTAGGTGGGCCAATGAGATTAAAAATTTCATATGTATATCGCGGCAACGGAAAGCACAAGGATCGTGGGAGAGGCCTTTGCCCTGCAGTGGGCGTAGTCAAGCTAATAATGATGATGATGAGACACAACAGTTACATTAGGGGACATTCACCAAATCATTTGCTTTCTCGTGCTAGAGTTATCGAGGAATTTTGTGCCAGTGTCATATAAATTAACCGTAACGATTCCCCTGACATACATACTGCACCTTTTTCAAGGAAATTCACCCTTGTGCATGAGTACATCCATCCGTCCTAACTTCTGGTTGGCTGAAAATTCTTTCAGTGACGCCAGCTCAAATTGTGAACGAACTGCCCCCGCCAAAATGTCACATTCACGTCCTGGACACGCACGGTTCGCCAAATGACAAATGCAGCACTCCTGGTAAGGCTACTAAACGATCCAACAGATAAAGGTATAAAACCTTATTGTACATTTCAGGGGACAAGAGCAATCCGCGTGATATTACGTCTACAGGTGAGCCCCGAATTTAGGCATTTGCATAGTAGTTCATATTTTTCATACCGGAAAGTCTTTCGCCTTTCATTACTTTTTCTTCAAGCAATTAAAATGTTGAACGAAATACTTAGCAAGTTTTTTTTTTCTTTTGCTTATTTGTCAACGTTCTGAAGAGCCTGGTCTCTAAAAAACTGGCATTTCCATGTACAAATACAACCGATGAGCGAAGATTCTTAGAAATGGGACGCTATGGGCTTGATCTCGCTGCTGGCTTTCATGAAGGCGGTAAGATGGGGAGCGGGTGGGGAGAGCGTCTCTTGCACTCGGGAGTGGAACAGTGAGCGTGCGTCGCGCGTGGCGCAGCCATCTGCCACCGCGCCTGGGCTCGCCAGGAGCACGCGCCTGGGCTCGCCAGGAGCACGCGCCTCTTGTTTTCCTCGGCGCGAGTGCCCGGCGATGCGAGCATCGACGGTGACGTCGGCGGCGGTGGGGTGCGGACCTAAGGAGCTTCGCTCCCACAAAACCGTTACGAGAAGTGCACTTGCTTAATTGCACATTCGCATATATGTGGTATTTGTTTTTGTTTTCTTCATACAACGAAAAAAATTCACAAAATATTCTAACAGTAAGATTCCTGTCGTTTTAATATCATAGCTAGTATAGTCAAACATAGAAGAAAGAGCAAACGCTTTAATTCAATACAGTGACCCTGTTTAGACGGCTGTGAATGGTGACGTAATCACAGAAGACCCACAGTGATTGAACTTAATTCCAGAAGCTTACCGCTATGACCCACGCCACGCATTAGAAAATCTAGCGATCGTTGAGATTTCGATCACTATTCGCAACACTTCGTAGCAAAAGCCGTTTACTCGCCATGTTTTTCTTGCTTCTTTTCGTTTCAGGCTTTGCAGGAACCGAGCGGAGGTAGTCATGAGCTGTGTCGTCCTCGTTCAAGGAGATACTAATTGCCATTGCACAATAATTAAAATTAGGAAGCCAATTACGGTAACGGGAGAAGACGTAATAAAAATACCGCACGATGCCGAAGTTGAATCGAAAGCAATGAACTCGTAATTGCTGCCTCTAAAGTGTCTCCGCTTCACGGACATCAGCGACACCATTTCACAGGCGGGGTGATATATGCTCTGAGCCACCGAACACGATGCGCGCGCCTGTGGATGGGTGAAAACTGGACAGTGGGTACTGTACCATCGCGAAGGCTTGTCGCTGTTCGGGCTGTTCATTTGACGCTGATGGCACATGAACAGACATGCGATTATGTGATATTACACATACAATGCATGTAATGTCACAATATGTTACAGTATGTAATGTCAAGTGACTGCATGCGTGTGTGTGCGCATATTTACATGTGCAGAAAACGCGATTATGCGTGCACACAAGTACAAACCCAAGAATAAATTGCTAGATGGTTGGGGAGGGGGAAAAGGCATTGCCTCACAGACAAAGGGCATCATCCATCTCTGTTTAGTGTTTTCTTTCTAAAGAGGGACTGCAACCGTGGTGCTAGCTTTCAGAAGCGAACCACCGCACTGCAGTGCGGTGGTTCGCTTCTGAAAGCTAGCCATGACTTCACCAATCCTACGCTTAGATTCGGGCGCACTTCAAAGAATCCCTTACAGTCGCAATGAATCGGTAGCCCCCGATTGAAGCGTGAACGCGTTGCATAATACTGCGGTTATTTCACAAGGATCTGCAATTTTGTTCCTTTTTTGATTGATATGTGGGGTCTAACGTCGCAAAACCACCATATATGATTATGAGAGACGCCGTAGTGGAGGGCTCCAGAAATTTCGACCACCTGGGTTTCTTTAACGTGAACCCTAATCTGAGCACACGGGCCTACAACTTTTCCGCATCCATCGGAAATGCAGCCGCCGCAGCCGGGATTCGATCCCGCGACCGGTGGGTAAGCAGCCGAGTACCTTAGCCACTAGACTACCACGGCGGGGCTGTTCTTTTTTTTTTTTTTTTCAAGTGTGGAGCACTTTAGCGGGCGACCGCGTCGTATGCTGTGTCGTCCTCATTCAAGGGATACTAATTGCCATTGCACGATAATTTGAATTATGAAAGTAGATGCGAATAGGGAAAATACGTAATAAAAATACCACACGATGTCGAAAGTGAATCGAAAGCGGTAACTCGTAGTTGCCAAGCAGCAACTACGGCGGCAGCATGGCCTACGAGATGGCTGGCGCACTGGACGCGCCCGCCATCTCGGAGGTCATGGCTTTCGTGTGCTGCAGCACCACCGCTGCCGTCATCGAGCGGCGGCGTGCGCGACGTGAACTCTTCCGCGTCGTGCGCCTCAAGCCGTATTACGCGCGCTAGCAAACCAGAGGACTGAACTTTTCCCCTTATGGTGCACCTTCTTTGGGCTTTCTTGCTTGTATTGGTTGTTCATTGTAATTTTTCACTTAAATATTGTGCTTCCCCCTTCTGTCAACGCATCAGGGCGTCTTTTCAGGGAGGAGGGGTGCAATGGAGCAATGCCACACATGCCCGTTCCTTTGTTCACTGTCCCCGGCATATGGCACGTGTACGCACTGTGGCGATAAAAACCTTCGAGAGCACGGGAGCGCGTGGCGAAAAGCACCGCGGCGCATTATCATGGCCACCATGCAGAGAAGCTCGAGAGCGCGCACCTGCACCAGCGCTTCCTTTTAGGGGCGAAGCTCCTTATAGCGGCACCCGTTTGTTTCTTGTCTATAGCCGTTGTAGTGTGCAACAAGTATAACATTTTGACCTCCAAGGTGGTGCCGGTGAGAGATTTCTTCAGTGCGTTGTTGAACAATAAAAGATAGTGCCCAATGTACATGCCAATGGCTGTTAAGAGGGAATGAGAGATGGTAATGGAGTGAAAAAACCTAATTTCAGTCCTGCGGGACGCGCTTAGCGCGTAGCGGGTGTCTCCCACGTAGGGACCGACAGGGAGTACCTGGCGGCTGCTTCGTGGGCCTGCTGGACGGCCCATCGCTGGTCGGCGAGAAGTGAGCTCCTGAGGGACCTCTCCTACTTGCTTGAGGTAGAGTCGGGAGGAGTTGTTCTACACTCCCAGAGCATGTGTGCGAGTGTCGCTGTGTGTCCACATGATGGGCATGTGTCGCTGGGGTATGCATTGGGATAATAAACGTGAAGCGTGGCAAGGTTTGGGTACGTGTGTGTCTGTAATAGGCGTAGGGTTAATGCATGCGGTCGGTTAAGTTTCGGATGTGGGGGTGGAAAAATGCGGCGTTCCAGATAAAAGTGCTTTGTAATTTCACTGTACGTAATTGGTGCATCCTGATTGGTATCAAACCCAGCAAGATGAGGTTGCCCTGTGGCAGTGTGATCGGTAAGTGCGCGCGCTGCATCATGGGCGATCTCGTTGAGCTTGGGTAGGGCACCCGGCACCTGGCCGAGATGGGCGGGGAACCAGATGACAGTGTGGTGCTTCAGGGCACTCGGGTCCGCATTGCGCAGGATACGTAACGCCTGGTCGGAGATGACTCCGCGTTGGAAGGCTTTGATGGCCGGCCTGGAGTCGCTGTAGATGAATTCCCGTTTGCTGTCGAGCATAGCTATAGCTATAGCTACTTGCTCCGCTACTTCGGGGTTTCGGGTGAGGATTGTGGCTGAGTTAAGAGTCTGCTGCACGGATGATACCACGACCGTGGCGAAGGCTTGGTTGTTGCGATAGGCAGTGGCGTCCACGAACGAGACGTTGTCCGCTTCCATGTGTATGCGCTTGAGAATGGCGGTCGCCCGCGCAAGGCGCCTGCCTCTGTTGTATTCGGGGTGTACATTTCGTGGTATGGGAGCGATCGTGCTAAGGTCGCGGATTTCACGGGGAATTAGAGTCAACTCTGGGGGGTCCCTGGCCCTCGAAAAGAAGAAGCCGAGCTCGCGCAGAATATGGCGGCCCGCCTTGGTGGTAGTGAGTCGGGTCAATTGCACGCGTTCCTGAGCTTCGGCGATCTCTTCTAGAGTGTTATGTACGCCAAGCTCGAGGAGTTTGTACGTTGGAGGGTTGATAGGGAGGCCAAGGGCTCGTTTGACCACCTTGCGAATAAGCGCATTGATTGGATGGCGCTCAGCACGTAGCCACTTGTGTATAGTGGCAACGTAGGTAAAGTGGCGCAAAACAAATGCGTGTAAGAGACGCAGCAGGTTGTCTTCTTTGAGGCCATGGTGCCTGTTGGCTACTCTACGTACGAGTTGTATGGAATTCTCAGTCTTAGTCCTGAGCTTATGTACTGTTTGGGTGTTGGTTCCGTGGGACTCGATGATCATGCCGAGGACCTTGATGGTGTCTACCCTGGGTACAGTACGACTATCTCTGGTGTGGAGGGTGATATTGCGTTCCGCCGGAGGTTTACACCCTTTGGGCTTGGCACCCTGGCGTTTGGGCAAATATATCAACAGCTCCGACTTCGCAGGTGAGCACCTGAGACCGGTGTGTTCGAGGTAAGACTCGGCGGTGTCGATAGCCTCTTGCAGGGCGGACTCAATGAAGCCATCCGACCCTGTGGAGCACCATATGGTTACCTCATCCGCATAGATAGTGTGATTTAGCCCGTCTATTTTTGAAAGACATTCGGAAAGCCTGATCATCACAAGGTTGAAGAGCGTGGGTGAGAGGACGGATCCCTGAGGAGTGCCCCACTGTCCGAGCTCCACTTCTTCCGACACTAGGTCTCCTACGCGGAGGACGGCTCTGCGTCGAGTGAGAAAAGAGCGGATAAAGTAGTAAAATCGATGACCTATAGCCGAGGGCTGCGATCACTTTCAAGACTGACGAGTGCGTTATTGTGTTGAATGCCTTTTCTAAATCGAGACCGAGTATTGCACGAGTGTCCCGAGTGTTTCCGACATCTAGAATTTGATGCTTTAGGAGTAACATGGCGCCTTGAGTAGATAACCCTGGTCGGAAGCCAATCATGTGGTGTGGGATGCAGTCGTTATCTTCGAGGTATCGACCAACCCTGTTGAGGACGACGTGCTCAGCCACTTTGCCCACGCACGACGTGAGAGATATGGGCGTAGGTTATCTAGGCTCGGCGCCTTTCCCGGTTTGGGTATGAGAACCGTGTGAGCTAGTTTCCAAGCATCGGGTATCTCACCCTTTTTCTATATCTTGTTGATAGTGTCAGTGAGGTAAGTGACGGAGGAATCTTCCAGGTTGCGGAGGAGCTTGTTGGTGATGCCATCGCAGCCAGGGGCTGAGCGGCCATTGAGCTCATGGAGAGCTCGGCGTACATCTTCAATAGAGAAGTCGGCGTCTAAGTTAGTGTTGTCGCTGCCAGAGTAATCAGGGTGAGGGGTCACAGGGCCCGTGGGAAGCGGGAGATATTTTTCCACGAGATTCTTGACATCTTCCGGTGACACTGTCCGTTTAGTCTGATGAAGTATTGTCACGATCTAATGACGCTGATTTGTGCGGGTGTTGGTTTCATTGAGGAGGTGTTTGAGTAAGTTCCACGTTTTGCCATTTCGAACCTGACCATCAATCGAATTACAAATTTCGTCCCACTGCTGTTTTGAAAGGATGCGGCAGTGATCCATCATTGTCTTGTTCAGCTGAGATATGCGTTTGCGTAACCTCCGATTTAAGGCGCTGGCCCTTCTACCGGGCCACTAGAGACTGTTTGGCCTCTAGTGGGTGGGCGAGACGACTGTCCATCTTTTCGGTTGGAAGGTCTGTGCTGATAGTTTTGGTTGTCTTGTTTACATCAGCTTTGAGCTGGGCCGTCCACGTCTCGAGGCTCGGTGGGGTATCGGGAGGAGGTCGTTCTGCGCGGGTCTTACGAAGGAGGTCCCAGTCGACCCACGTGTACGACGTGGTCTTCCTGCTTACTGTGGGGAGGTGCACAGCCAATATGAAGTGGTCGCTACCGAGATCTACCACGAGGTTGGACCAGCGGGGTCGGAGATATTCTTGACGAAGCATAGATCCGGCGTAGTATTTCTTTGCGTGGACGTACCAGTGCGAGTGGGGAAGGCCTTGTCCGTAATGAGAATAAGGCCCATGTCATTCGCATTTTTCTAAAGCTCGTTACCTTTGGGTGTGTCGTACTGTTACAAGCTGCCACTCTAGCGTCGCCAGCGCGAAGTCGGCGACGGGAATGACAGCAGGTTGGTTCGTTCCGTACGCAAGCAGAGACAGTGAAGAGATCAGAGACGTGGAAAAACAAAACAAACTTTGCTCTAGTGATATTGCAGCAACACGGGATCTAATACAACACTTCAATACAACTAACAAAATACATCGACACTTGATACAACTAAAGAAATATATAACAGAAACAATAAATCAGCTTACGAGAGAGAACTATTACAAACTACACAAACTAACAAGAATAGGACGACGGAGGAGAAAGTTCGAAGATATAAACAGGTGAAGGCATACGTGTGATGACCGGCAGCGTTGCGTCCCCGACGATCGGAAGCGAGAAGTCGAAGAGAGTTCTGGCACGACTGCGATGTCGGCGGTGTTGCAACGCTGGTGGCTCCGGGAGGCTAGTGCTTGCAGGTGACTTCGAGCAGGTTGAACTAACTCGGGGCGAAGTCCCGATGTCTACGTTGCAGACGTTAATATCGCGTCACAACTAGACGAACGGCTAAGTTTAGGTGGCCAGCCGATACAGAGCCACACTAAAAACTTCTAGAAGAGATGCTTATTGATCTGTTTCTACACCATCTTGGTCAGCGACTAGTCTGCTTAGCAGGGCAAAATCTTGCGCTTAAATCCCCCTCGCGTCTCCTCGCTCTCTTCCTTGAGGACAAGAGACCTCTACATGGGTCCAATCATGTGCGTTTAATTGATGGGAAACTCCGCCCCAAAAATATTTTGACCCCACCCCTTTTTAATTGGGAGAGGGCCCGCAACTAGCGAGAGTGACAACCTGTCGGGTTGTTGTCATACGGCTTGGCCACCAGGGCGTTTCCCACGCTTTTCCCCGTGGGAACGGTCAACCACTTAGCTCTCAGTCGGTGCGCCTTGTAGTCTAATCCTTGTTCGGGGTATACTGCGGCCTTCTACGACCTTGCAGACGTCGCCACAGTTACAAAAGGATTAACTGTCGGCGGCGACGTTCTAAGGAGAGCACCCCATTTTGCACTTATCGGTTCCCTTTCATGTGCCGCCGTTTTTCACGGTCAGTCGGGGAGTCCGGCGCCCGTTAATTGCCGTGACGCGGTGTCGCCGAAAATAGCCGTCCGTGACATTGCCCCCCACTTTCAGAATGTTATTCATAACATTTGTTCGCACGGAGGGGAATTTTTTTCGACAACAAG